ACGAAGAACAGCTCGCCGTGAGAAAATTGCAAACACGAGGCGCTGTAAGCGAGTAACGGGACACAGCACACGGGTCAGCGTTCCGGGCGGAACCCTTCTCCCCCGGAAGGTCTAGGAGACCCAACCGGGTGCCCAGGCCTGGGAGTGGCTTTGCTTGGAAGCTGGCCTTTGTGGATGGGACCAGGTTGGGATGCGGAGCCTCCAGGTGGAGCAAGGGAAACACGGCATCTTCCCTTTTGTGCCAGAGACGGGGCTCAGGGAGGAGAGGAGGGTGTTCACAGAGGCGGCCTTGGCTGAGGGAGTGGGCGTGGGGACACGGGACCAGCCCATGAGAGTGGAGGGGACACGGGGACCCGCCCATGAGGGTGGAGGGGACACGGGACCCGCCCATGAGGGTGGAGGGGACACGGGACCCGCCCATGAGGGTGGAGGGGACACGGGACCCGCCCATGAGGGTGGAGGGGACACGGGGACCCGCCCGGGATGGTGAAGGCGGCCGAGGGGGTGAAGGCCACAGAGGCCGGGCGGGCAGGAAGGACGCTCCCCCGTCCCAGGAGCCCAGCCTCACTCCGCCAGGTTCTGGGCGCTCAGCCGCCAGGACCCTGAGGCAGCGACTCCTGGTGTTTGAGACCCAGGTGGGGGCACCCGTGCTGGGCCCTGGGGGCGTCGGCATCGCCTGCTGCGTCTTACACATGAGGAAGGCATGACAGACACTCTCGTCTGCCCGCACGTGTGTGTGGCTCAGGGCAGGCTGACTCTCTCACCTATAAACTCATCCTCTATATTTAAATCGGTGTTTCAGGAAAATGTAAATTTTTAAACGTTAACAGACGTTCATTACGCCTCCTTTTACAAGGCCTTCATGAGGCCCCGGGGATGCAAGACTCACATCCTCCAACTCAGGGCACCGGCTGCAGCTCAGGTAACTGGTTCAGGGCGGGAACCCGTTTGTCCAGGCGGCAGCGGCAGTGAGTGAGGGGGAGGGATGGAGGAGCCGGTGGGGACGGACGGACGGACGGACGGCAGGGATGGGGGAAGTGGTAGGAAAACTCACGCGGGGAGAGGTTCCGAGCAAACGCTCAGGGCAAGGAGCTCCCGGGTGTGAAGAAGCGAGATGAGGGTTCGTGGGCAGAGGGACGCTTCACATGCGTTTTAGCAGGAAGAGCCGGAAGGTGGGCTCTGGTTACAGTGTGACAAGATCTGAGTGTTTTCTACAAATACGAAGACTGTTAGGAAGAAGTCTCGCGAGGAGGCGAAGTACCGGCGTTTTTAGGATATAGATATACTCGTTGTTCTGTCAGAGGACGAGTAGCCATCGAGAAATCCCCCCCCCCCCCCGTCATCATTACACTAATTGCCTCACTACAATGAAAGAAAAAAATTGAGAAAATAGTTGTTTAATGAAAACCCAGCCTCAGACAAAGGGAAGAGCAGGGGAGGAAAGAAGAAGGGAAGGAGGAAGGCGAAGAAGGAACACCTCTGCGTAAATAAGCTATAAATAAAATATAACTTTTGCCTTAATAACCAAATAAGAATTCTTATAAATTTATAAAATTGTTTTGGCTTTTTATTACTTTTTTGTTATTAGTTTTTGGTATAAGAAGTTGAAGAAGTATTGACAGAATGGTATGAAATCTACTATTTCTACCTAAACATAAGTTATAAACATTGAACACTGGCCTTGTTGATTGCCAACTACAACGCCGAGCTCAAAGTCCTCACCTTTAAAATACCGTTGTGTTCACACATTATTCAGGAAATGCTGAAATGGGCATGGGGTAGGTTACAAAATTTGAATGACAAAATGTTTTTAAAAAACGCATTTGTGACTCAATAATTGTCCTCTTGTCAACGATCAATTAAGTAAAATTTTACTCTGTAACGAAGCTTTGATGACTAACAGGTCTAAGAGGGGACTTAGACACTGAAGAGACAGGAATAACGAACATCATTGAATTTGCTGAGAGCTGAGCGGCCAGGGAAGTGGACTGAACTGACAGACACTACCCAGCTGACGTCCCCAGTGGCCGCTGGGCGCTGCACAGCCTGGGGGGGTTCCTATCAACTCTTCTCATTGTGAGCATAATAGGTTTTTGTTTTTAAATATTTTTATTGATTTTTTTTTAAGAGAGAGAGGAAGGGAGAGGGAGAGAAGATAGAAACATCAATGATGAGAAACATCGATGGGGCTGCCTCCTGCACACGCCCCTCACCTCCGCATACACACACACACCCACTGGGAAATAGCCCAACACCAGGGCATGTGGCTTTGAACCAGGATCCAACCACCAACTCGCCTGGTGCCTTGGGAATGATGCTCAACCCCCTGAGCCCACGTACGCTGGGCCACAGTAAAGTTTTCGTGTAAAGCCAGCTCAACGGGCAATCCCTATTGGGAAAATTTAAGCTTTC